TCATATTTGCAGAGCATGATGTAAATAAACAATAGTCTCCATTGACGCGAAAATTTGCAGATATTTGACCACGGACATTATATGTTCCGAGAAGTAAACTGTTTTCTGAGCGTGTAGCTCCAAGAAAACTGTGAGCTTTGAGGAACAGATAATGTCCGAGGACAAATATGCGAGCATATTTTCGCGCCAAATAGAGGCTACTGTGTTTATTATCCTTCAAATATTTTTCGCAACACGTGCAGTGACGCGTTTAGACCAATCACGCGCAAGCGAAAATATTTGGATTATAATTGCTTACATACCATGATGGCTGAGGCAATGAAAACTCCTGAATTGTGCTATCCAATGATCCACTGTTAATAAGATCTAATTATCACATGCAGCCTTTTTCTGAAATCAAATCTAGCAACAATCTGTTCATGTCCTTGTTATTACCAATTTAAATTCAAAAAGATGTACTACTGTATCGCCTTGCTGTTTTCGATGCTGTGTTATTGGTTAGTTTTAAGGTCATGTTTTTGTTGTTGTTTTTTGTTTCTGTATTGCCTCGTAATTAAGGGCTGTGTCGTTGGTTGGGATCTAGCTCATGCCGTAGGAAATGTTGAACTTCACCTTCATGATTGGAATGTAGACTTTGCTTGTTGGTGTTCATACAAGGTAAGCTGGCCTGGTATGACTCTTTTGGCTTGTCTTTGCTTGGTAATTGCCTGCATCTTTATCGCAGCAGTTTTGGGAGATAAAACCTCTCGAGACCAACTTGAATACCGAAGTAAAGTAATGTGCGAAAACCGTACCTTCGGGGGTGGGGGCACGCTTACCTACATGTTCCTACATAAAGGAGTGTTTTACCGGAAAAGAGACCAGCCCTAGAAAATCGTACTAAACTACGTACATCCGGGGTCCTGTTGACATATTTTCTATATCCTTCACAAGTGAGGATATATATGTTGTCAATGTCCGCCTTTGCGTAGTAATAACGAAATAAAGATTACCTACAGCGGCCCGCCATCATGAAGACGTGAACTTTGTCTTCTCGTGTTGGGAACAATATTTCATTCATTTACTACACTCATTGCCCACTGCAAAATAAAGTTGATATCTCAGCGCCCCAAATCCACTCCTGCCTGAGAGATGTAGATGTGTTACGTAGTTTATTTGTAGGTAGCTGCCTGAGAGTGCCTCAGCAGCAAATTTTACTCTTGAACTGTTTATTTGTAGTACCTTAATTCTGGGCCTGGTGGAATAGCAGGGGCATTTGTACACGAGAAACACGCCTGTAACTTTGACCTTCCAAAGTAAGTTGTTCAAGACTGACAAAATATCAACCAAACCTGGAAACAGGCTCTTAATTACTTTATTCGCAACTTCAATTCTGATGCCAAATTTTCGAGAAAAGGAACTTTCATTAAGCATAGTCCATGTTTAGTCCTAACTAAAAGCCTTCAAGCCGTGGACAAGTATACGGGCGTCATACATGCATTCTCCACTGGCTGGAGGCTGGTCATTTGGCTGCATTGTGTTGTTGGCTGAGGGAGTTAAAAATACGCGATTACCGAACACGAACGCAGCTAGTCATAGGGAGGGCGATAACCTGGGAACTTCAGCCGGACTACCAGACCACCGTCCTTTAGAGCATCAGGCTACATTGCTTTCTAAAATACGAGACAGCTTGCTTGTAAGCCCAGTATTGAAGTAAGTTAAAGTTTCTTTTCCCCATCGTTCTTACAGTGGATTACAGTGTGAGATGTTTATGGTTTGAATCCCAGTCAAATGTTTGTTAAAACAAAAGCGTGGATAGTCTTTCTCAGACAAAAGGTTTCGTGCAGCAGACCTCGTTTTGAAAGGCAATAGGCCATATTCGTCTAAAACTACAATCTTGGACGGAATAAGATAAGAAATAAAACCACCCCCTCCCCCCTCCCCCGAATCAATGATGAACTGGCGCTAAACCCAAAGCGTGCCATTTTTCCCATCATTGAATTGGGGGGGAGGGGTGGTCTTAATGTTTCATTTGAAAAGATTCCACGCATTAGCCTCAGTTGCAAGCTAGTTCCAGTCCTATACCGAGAATACGAATATGGTGTATTCTGTTATGGCATTCTGCACTATTCAATAGTTATCCACGGCCGTTTTACACCTCATGACATTGTCGCGAAATTAAATGTGTTAATATTGACCTGGCTCCTGTGGTTTCGTATCTTAAGTTGGTAGCACTTCCTTTGAAGTTGTAGTTGACTAAATATGATTTTGTCTTAGGTTTTCTGGTTGGTGGGGACACGATAGATCAAGTCGTTTTGAAATGGGGCACGGTAATTGTTATTTATTACTATGAATATAATAAAACACATAACGTGCTCCCTCAGGATGCATGTAAAAATTGGTTTATTTCACAGATGCCCTCCCCGAAGGAAAAAATCAGAGAGACCCGTCTCACCGATTCTTTCTTTCTTCCGAATAGGACGGCTGTGACACAGGCTACTTGCTTATTGACAAGCAAGGTTGAGAATTTTAATTTTGAAGAGAAGAGTCGGGAAGCTCAGAGGCACGATTGGCTTTTATTGTCGCCATTTTTTAATGCATGCACTTGGAGACAGTCAGTTGTATACCATTAACGGAAGCCATTCTTTTTTGTAGTTCGCAACTTATCGATTAAACTTTCAGAAAAGTCCTTCTTCTTGTTTATTCATTACCCGCCGAACAACACTGGTATCTAGATTTCTAGACTTCGCCTCTTGCTCGGGCGCTTGGCAGCCTGAAACATCGAAGTCTACTTCGCTCGCTTAGCTATTCTACCCTGAATTTTAGGAGGTCGACTTGTGGCAAATCTTGTTATCGATCTACTGTAACATTTCTTTTTGAGCAGAAAATTCATTTGAACTCGTTATCGCGGGAGCGAATAAATGAGCCGAGCTTGGTTAGCTACACTGCAGGAATCTTAAAGCTTGTCGTGTAAAGGAGGGCAAAATTATTGATAGGTTATGAAAAAAACAAAACAAAACAACAACAACAAAAAAAACCGTTAACTTTTAATTTTATTTTTGCTTTGTAGAATTCAAGCCGCTTCCAGGAGCGGCTGCCTTTCAGTTGTCCAATCCACCCCTTCTACAAACGGTCTCGTTATTAGGAAGTTTGAATGTAAGTTCTATTGCCGTTCGCTTTGCTCAGCGGAATAGAAAACATTTCTGTTATAAGTAAAGGAGGCAAATAATATAGTGGAGGGAGCCGCCAGCAATCGAGTTTACTTGCAAGAAGAAACTGAGACACGCAGAATACGGGTTACAAGCTACAGAATATGCGTAAGCGTGTTAGACGCTTTTTGTTAAACTTTATTTTTTGCCTTTATTGCTCGAATGTTTTGCAGAAACTGTGACCCACTTTCACATAATTGTTTTCTTTAACAATGTCTAGATATTTTAATAAAGGTAAGACTGGATCAATACAGTGTTCTTTTCTTTGTAGGTTTTCGCAAAAACGTCAATGAAAAAACTGAGAGCAAAGTCAGACATTCTGACAGGTAATGAGCAGTTGCCATAATGAACTATGGGTTGATAACAAAAATTACTGCATGGCTCTGTCTCGCAAGGACTGGGAACTACCAAATTCACGAATTTAATTGGCTGAAATCGATATTGAGAGCGGTCTAAACTTTCCCATCTAGACCGCTTTCTAGAGCGGTGATGTTTTTCAGTGAGAAAGTTGCGAATTAAAACGCAAAATCATTGTCTATTTTCTTTTAACAATATTTATCAATGGAAGTGCTAAAAAGCCTGATGAGAAAAAAAGTAAAGAGGACGAGCAAACTTCGGCAGAATTAAGTTCAGCTCATTGTCGTTCGCAAGCAAAATGTCAGCTAGTACAAACCAGTTACATTAAACGAATTAAACTGTTTTTGTGTGCCATATAATAAGCATCTTATTAACCGAGCTTAGTCGGTCTGTATGGGAGAATCTTGACCTCGGTCGTGAGTACAGACCTCACTGCGTTCAGTCTGTACTCACGACCTCGGTCAAGATTCTCCGATACAGACCTCCTGCTCGGTTATAAGAGCTAATTAATAACACTTTTTTTATCGAGGAAATTTAAGTCATCGCTAATAATGACGTAAGTTTCCTGAACATATGCAGAAGGGTGACCTTAGGAAAAAAATAAACTATGAAAATAAACCTATGCAATAACAAATGCATAAAACATATCAGTTACTTTCCAATCTGCAGATAACTTACAAATCATTAGATAACAAAAGCCCTCTGAGAGGTCATGTGGTTCAGTACTGGACAGTCAATAACTACACTAAAGAGTTACCGAGTTATTTAAGAAAAACTGATAGATAGAAAACTGAGAAAACATTGCGGCCACTTACTAGCATTTCCTAACGACAATCTCACGTCATGTCGAAGCGCGTGGGAAAGCGAGTGTCATACGTTTTCATTTCGTAGCGGTCACCGGTGAGAGATCGTAGAGATTCGTAGTGCCATGTTTCTGTTACACTCGACGGTAAACTCGAAATTAGTTTACTCCAAATGTGATATTCAATGAAGGGATAACAATTCTAAGCTGTAAAAAGCAGTTATTTTCATTTAAACGCGAGTTTTAAAAGCGAAAATCGATTATTAAATCTCAAGGTGTTTTCGGTCTCACTTCGTGAGATTGTTAAGCTTCCGAAAAGTTACAGACTATCTTACTAACGCTCCCGATGACATAATGGTACCTGGCTAAAGCCACTAACCACCACATAAAAATGACGAAAAATTGAAAAAAGAGTTTCTCATTGGAAATCCTCTGACCTAGAAATTACATTGAAACATGTTTCGTGTTTCCGTCGAGTTATAGAGACAAGAGCTAAGTGGAATTTTGGGAGAACGAGAAGTGCTGTGGGAACGCGAGCCGACAGGCGAGTGTTTGTAAGTGCAGCTTTTTCTTCGAGTTCTCCCAAATTTTCACGAGTGTTTCTATAACTCAGTACAGACACGGAGAACATGTTTTTTATTTCTTTTAGAAAATTCCGCGTCGACAAAAGAAAACTATTGTAAATTCTCTTTGCTCGCATAATCATTACGTCAACAGCTCGTGCTGGTTCTGCGTTTTAATCAAGTTATGGAATTACAACTTGCAGTGTGTTCCTTCTTACAGGGTGTTTTCTAATTAATATTCACAACCACTTTAGGTTCAACTGTTGCTCCACCTGCCACGACAGCCGCACCTACACCACCAGCACCAACGACTACAGCTCCACCAGTAGGTAAGGAAACACCTGATTGGTTAACTACTTAGTCAAGAATTTAACGGGTAAATTTCTGGAATATTAATATTAAAGGACGCTATCCTGAGTTGCGTATCATGAAATACGGCATGGTTTTTTTGGGCTATTTAGTGCATCGTGGCCTCTAAATCGCTGCTTACTGCGTATTCTGCATTCAGCTAGCTTTCAACTGGCGTATTTCACTTAGAGAGTCTTCGGAGATCTAGTGGAAAAATATCATTCGAATGAGTAGGCTAGCACTGTAACGTTAAAATAAATGGATCGACTGTAACTACAGTGAAATAGGGCGTAATATATAGGCTGTTTCGCGCATTAATATTTCACGATCTTTGAATCGTTATATAATGGGGAATTTGCATTAACGTGGCCGTTAGCAGAAGTATTTAACTTAGAAATCTGAGGAGATATGCTAGAGGAAACAAAGTATTTACACGGGACAGGTACATGTCGGCACTGGTGAATCAGATAAACTTGTACATGTCTTGATCTCGCGGCGAGCCGACAAGCCGGAAACATGGCACGTGACATAGGTTATTTATTTATTTCTTTTGTCTTTGTTTGTCTGCCTGTTTTTTAACACAGCACATGTCATGGGTTATTTAACTCGAACTGACCTTAAATAATTTAATTTTGAGAAATCTGTTTTACGTTAGCCATGAATTAACACATAACATTAAAAATGCCCTCTAAAAACATATTATGATATATTTTAGCCAATGTGTATGAAAAAGCAATTGTACACATGGGCTTATACAGTGACATTATACATTTTAATGTAATATAACCGTGTAAGTACCAATAATTGTGTTGCGAAGAAAAAATGCGTGTAATTATGTTGTAATTATCATTATTTTCAATTTTTCGTCGTTCAATGAAACTTTCACGACCCGTCAATTGGCGGCTTTGCGCTTTTATTGATTTATTCTAATTATTATTATTATTTTTTAATTTTTCTTGTAATTGCTTAGCCTTTGGCTGCAACTTTGATAAATCCATGTGCGGATTTCTTCAGGACAAAAATGACAAGTTTGATTGGACTCGAAATAAAGGAGGCACTCCATCTACTGGTACGGGACCATCCGCTGACCACACCACCGGAACTGGTATGCAAAATTTGTCTTTTATTGCGTCTCTTTCGTCTACTTCCATAACGTACCACTTGTTTCATTTGCCATCAACCGCTTCAGAGTCGGCCGGTTTTGGTTTATTTGGCTGAAGTGTTCTAAGAGAACATTTTCTTGACCATTTCCGTTAATGGTTACATTAATTTTTGGCCCAATTCTGTTGGGATAAACTGTTTTCAGATGGTTTGGTTCAAAACGTGTCTCATTGGGAATATCCAAGCCGATTAACCGTTTAAACAATTGGTTTGTTTTCGTTTGAACCGTTGATGACACTATTTCAATAGGGTGCATAATTACAGCCAAGACTGTAGTTTCCCACATGGCCCTATACATGAAACTAAATTACATCCTCATTAATTACAGGAAGTTCAAACGTTACAACATAGGATACTAAGCTACTAAGTTATAAAAGGAAATTAAAATATTCTGTCAATTTTAAAGCTATCAGGCGTGAATTTACGCATGATGCAGTCAAAGTAGTTTCTTCTGAGATCGGCCGAATAGATACAATCATTAAGAGCATTAAAAATGAAACTTTTCAAGTGAACCAACCAAAAAGGTGTTTTTCCAAGCTGTAGAACACGAAAAGACCTAACCAGCCCAACCAGCCAAAGAAAAGAGATACTCTCAGACTAGGGCCTTGTGTAATACTGTTTACTTTGAACATTTATCTCTACTTAGATATTTTGTACTAATTTTAGGAACTTTTCGGTTTAACAAAGTTTAGTTCATGGTTATTCATTCGTCCAAATTTCGGATTTCTGGTGTAATTTCCTGTTTGGATAAAATGTTTGGAACTCGTTCCAGTAGACTTACTCTTTAATTTATTTACGAATCTACTGCTGTTATACTATACATGTAAAATATTAGAACGCCCTCAATGGCGTATCCAAAACGTTGAGTTTTCAGAAGGTATGAAGTCACTCTCAGTTGGTTTGCGGACGCCAAGGTTAGTGCCCTTTCAAAAATCTAGGAAATTTTTTTCCATTAAGTCATCAGTGCCATATTATGTTGAAAGTAAGGTACAAAGGGTACTTCCTCCTTTCACTTGGTTGCAGAGGACAAAAACCAGAATTAACGATAACATGAATAAATGCCAAAAGCCAAAAACATGGAGTAGTTTTAACAGAAGTCACGGAGCCATTTTTTTTTTTTTTGTTATCTCTCTATCATTACAGGATACTTCATGTACACGGAAACATCAAGTCCTCGACAGCAAGGTGACAATGCAAAACTAAATAGCCCCAAGCTGCAATTCAGCGGGAACATGTGTCTTCAGTTCTTTTATCACATGTATGGTTCAACCATGGGGACATTAAACGTGGAAGTAAATGGAGTAAACGTGTTCAGTAAAAGTGGAGACCAAGGCAAAATTTGGCATGAAGCGAAAAAAGATGTAAATTTATCGGGAATGTTCACGGTAAGAGAAGTTTTCGGGGCCACTTTAAAGTTGCCTCGTACAAAATTGTTGTAATATAGTATGTAGAGAGTCCCAGTAGATGACTTCACAGTTACTGGATTTGTAACTCTCCAAAACCTTGACACGAGTAAGTTCAACGTATTATAATAAGAAAAAAAGCGCTTTCAAAGAGTCTTAAGTAAACCTCTTTCACCAATTGTTGAAAGTCTTCCTGACTTAGGGAAATACAACTGCAGTCGCAAATAGGTTTCTGTTAGACTGCTTTTTGAGTAAGGATATGGATCAACGCGCGATCGTGACGAAATAAACCTGGTTTCCGTGTAGAGTTGAACGTGTGGCTGCAGGTTAACCTTCATTCGGCTGATTTAGATCCATTAATGTAACAAATGCTAATGTGAAGTATTATTTATTTCTTCCTTCAGTTTTTATTGGCTGGGAGCCCTTCGCGTGACTTGTAAATAGCTTGCTGCCTATAATGATCTGTTCATGCGTGATACCGTCTGAATGCGTTTTGCTGCAAATAGTATTCTGCTCATGCTTGCATGTAATTGTATGAAAAATGGCAGATTGCTTCCTTGAGCTTTCAGAGAGTGATGTAAATATAAAAACAAACTTGGTGATCGAATGATAAAACAATTATTGAACTCGATTATCGCAAAATAGAGTCAAAATGTCGTGATTTGTCAGTGTCCCGCAGATCAATTGTTTTCCTCAGCCTTCGGCTTTGGCAAATGCTTTTATCGGCTGACTTTTAAATATATATATATTTTTTTATGAAGGAAGACTATTTTATGATACTTATCGTGAAGACTGATTACATTGATATGCTGTATTTTCATATGATTAAGTCTGTTCGTAAGTCGATCATTTTCATACGTTGATTAATATGTTTTTTTTTTTTTAATCGTCATGGTAGGTTACATTTGAGGGAATAACGGGAACAAGTTGGAAGGGTGACATAGCAATAGACGATTTCCTGTTAACCCCAGGGAGATGTTTATCAAGTAAGTCCGTAACAAGTTAAATTTCTATGTTTCGTATCTCACGAAATTATTTAGGTTCTTATCGTTTTCCAATTGATAATTGTTAACAAGCTAGCGCACATGTAACCTCAAAATTAGCAACAGCATGCCAACAAACAGAAAAAAAAACGACACAAAGAAGGCCTAGGAACTGCAATCAGAACATAAACGGGTAACAGAGAATAAATAAGTAAATAAATAAAACAAATAAATAAAGAATAAATACATAGATAAATAAATAAATAAATAAATAAAACAAATAAAGAATAAATAAAGAAATAAAGAAAGAATAAATAAATAGATAAATAGATAAATAAATAAATAAAGAATAAATAAATAAACAGCTTTTTCCAATCCTCTAAGTTGCTTCTGCCTCTTGTTATTTTGCAGTAACTCCGCCACCTCNTTATTGTTGTTGTTGTTGTTGTTATTGTTATTGTTATTTTGACGCTGGAATAATGACAAAGGAAATGCCCAAACATTGGTAAACAAGTTATGGCCATTTTCTTCACGTTACAAACTACCATGGCAACATTATAACTTAAATCTTCGAAACACCCTTAATTTTGGCTTTAAGTGCTAACGACTCAAAAGTGTGTCCAGTTATCCCCAGTTTTTATTACTGAATTGTAATAAGCATACATTCATACACACACATGCTTTTTGATAAGGCAGCTCTGAGTATGCCATCGAATATTTATACAAAGATAGAAAATCTTAAAATTATAAAAAATCCGGGTTTTTTGGAACTAATTAAGCTTGCCTCTTTTTCAAATTGGATACGCCAAGATGCATCGTCAAGATTAACTGGCAGGTTGTTCTTCTTGCAGCTTATCTTGAACTTCTTCTCTTACATTACTACGGTTTTTCACAAGATGACGACGAAACTCCGGCAAAGTGGCAGAAACTGGAAAACGGAAGTGCAAAGATCGGTCTTCTATCGATCATTACGCCAGTAAACCCAGCTGAGCGCGGCTGTCAGCTGTCCGTCAGTTTCTCTGTACCAATGAAATCTCTGCGTAAAGAGTTTGACAAGCGGGGAGTTGTGGTAAGTTTTAAGGGTTCGAAGATCAAAACAAACCTAGAATTAATGTGAAGACATGATAGATCATCTCAGTTATATTCACAACTTAAGCAGCTGTAAAACTGAAGGCTGAAAAAAAGAATTCAGGCTTGAACATGATTCGATCCCATGAACTCTGCGATACCGGTGCAGTGCTCTACCAACTGAGCTTTTAAGCCATCTGGGAGCTGGTCCCGGATGGTCTGAGATGGTGAGGGTGCAAGTGAATACATAAAAGATCATATACTTGAACTGCGGAGTAAAATATGAAAACATCAGTTGGTAGAGCACTTCACCGGTATCTCAGAGGTCATGGGTTCAAATCCCGTTCAGGCCTGAACGTTTTTCAGGCTTTAATTTCGCAATTATTTAGATTGTGTGCATAACTGCGATGATCAATCATGTCTTCATATCTCACCCCGCAGTTTAAAGTAGATGTTCTTTCATATATCGACTTGCAAACCTAGAATGTGCACCATATCGTTAGCTAGAGGAGCAGACATTATTGACTGCTGTATTCTGTTCGCTGTTTTGACTCGGCTGTAGGTGGATACGCGTGAACCCGACGTGATGAGAATCGCTCCAACGCCGCTGTACAACAGCTTCGTGGACGTGCATCGCTTTGTCGCCTCATTAGGAGAAGCATTACACGTGTTGGAACACTTTGAATCAGGACAATAGCTATGTTGTGTAATACACTGCCAATATGCAGTCAGGGCTTGGATTTGTCAACATTACCCTTCACTCACCGGAAGCTAATATTGCCATTGATGCATATTCATGTTTGTAATGGTCAAAACATATATTGAGAAGTGGCAGACCTTCAAGGGTACATTTAAAAGTCTGAAAATAGCTAAGGATGTGATAATTTAATATTCGTTGGTCGATAAGGTGTCTAAAGTATTTAAACAGTGTCTTAAATAGTGTATAATTATTACGTCCACGGTTCGTTATTTATAATGTAAGGTCCCATAGGTTTCCTCTTATTTATGTTTCGTAGAACTTTTTTGGAGGAAAGACCAGTAACAAAGGTTCTTTGTTAATTTTAGAAAAAGAACGAGAATCGTAGATCGGCTCAACGGATTTGCGTTCAACTCGATAGGTGGTTGCTGGGAATAACTGGAGAAATTAAAATATTTTCTTCTTTTAAGCGTGTATTTTTGTAAAATGTACTCTGTTTCACAAGGTGTAAGTTGTAATAAATTTGCTGGCCGCGTCACGTGTCAGCTGATTGCGTCAGTAATGACGATAAGTCATCTGGATTCTCTCCTCTATAGCCCACTACTTCTACTGAAAATCACTATTTCATATTTTCTCGTTTCAAGAACCATCCAAAAAATTAAAGGAGAAGTTCACTCAAAATTTGGCACTCGTTTTCTATTCGCCAACGGAAAGCTATTACAATGATCGGTCACTGGGCAAAATTTCAGCTTCCAAAGCGCTTCCAAACCCTATGAAGCAGAAGACGCAAAAATAAAGAAAGAAGAGAGGTAGGTCCTTTTGTTTACTTAAGCTTACCTTTTTTATTTGACTTGTAATACTAATTTTCATCGGTAAATTAACTTGAAAACCAGTAACCTGTAGGCCACGGGCATGAAATTTTGGGTAATTGGTTTTGCATTACTATTTTTCCTTTCTCGGTATATGACCCGAAAATAATTTATTTTAGGTTGGTGAGAAAATTATGGCGAGGGTGATGGTCTAACAGGTTGCTGAAGAGGCAGAAAAGACAGTGGTAGAGGGAAAAATTCCCGAAGAAGTACGTATACTTGAGTCTGATATGGAGAAACAATTTGCTGATGTTGGTACAGAAAGACGCCGTCATAGAAGCACCTGTCAAAACATTTGTTAACGTAAGGACACAAACAGAACCCCTAGACGTCTGCTCTGGTTTGCGGCTGTAAGTGTGATCTGGGATCACATTTCTTCGTTTTCTCTCGGGCGTTAATTCAATACCTGGCTGGTCTATAAAGGTTACTGGTTTTCATACATATACTGAAACTAAAGCGCAGAGAAGTTCTTACTAAACTATGAGAACGAAGTGCGATCGTCTATAGTTTTGACACCTGTCTGATTAATTAGTGCCACAAGTTTTTACATTTGCACAGGAGTCAGGTTTCTGTCTTGCTCCACAATACTCGTATTTGTGTAGCATACTTCTGATGACCGAGGCCTGTCGATCCTCCTGGAGGTTAGTTCTTGAATGTCTTCATTTGCCAGTGAGTTAGAGGAGACATCTACACCTTTGGACGACACACGTGAAGTTGAAATGCTCCTCAACTCTTTCCACTTTTGCTTTTTCCGAAGATAAGCGGCCCGCACATCGCTATTTCTTAGGACGTGAATTAGGAAGATGAACAAACCCTGAAGTAGAGGAAAAGCGCATCAAGCTGAATATGATGTTACCTCAAAGTTCTTAATCCTACAAAATGTTAATCACGATACTAGTGCATATCTTCTCACTTCTACTCAAAAAGCTCGTTTTTGAAATGCTTCTTCACTGGTCAGAGTCGGAAAACGCGGCACATTCCTTTTCTCCCACCCCAAAGCTACCAGAATAAGTGGAGGTGGCAATGGGGATAAGTGCGTCGATAACTGATAATGACACTGGCCAGCCAATACTTACTTCCTTTACAAATTACATTTTTTAATGTCGATTTGATTTCGTGATATCTATTTGGCATTCCCTACTAGACCTGCCACCACCAACAACAAAGCGTTTGCGCGCGCCGTCTTGAAGTCCAAAAAAACCCTGTGAGAACGATGTAATGCGCACTTAGATAACACTTGGTGGATGGTATCGACTTTACCCTGCAACATGCCGTAGTTTACAGGATTCCCTGTAAATGTAAAGTTTATATCAGTGAAACTGGGAGATCAGTGAGGAAAGAATCAACACGTACGACTGAGAACAGTTCGACTCGCGCGTGCATCGTGACGCAAACCGTAATTCTTCAAAATCATCTCTTGCTTCTTTAGCGGCTTACTATTCTTACGTATCGTTATAGGTGACACAATATGTAGCAGCTGTGAAAATATTACATTCAACACCATACATAGAAATCCCAAAATTCTTAAAACATACACAGGAAGGTGGTGTACCTGAAGCGAATTGAGAATGGTGAAGATGTACTGAAAGACAAGTCCAGCATCCGTCACGCTTAAAAGACCAAACACCCAAGTCATTCCCAGTAGAGGAAACAGGACGGCACATGCTTTTAAGCCCTGCCTGAAGTGAGAAATGAGTTTACTTGAGCCAGTAAAGAAAGTAAACGAGACATCTGCACCTTTACGAATTAGCGAGGGTTTGTTGTTACTACAACTAGATAGCATCGTTCATTGCAACGGCAATCAAAACGCCAAGAATAGTTGTTCAGTTGTAACGCTTTTTTTTTTAGTCTTGTACCACTCAACTCTCCTAGTTAAAATCTCGGAAGGAAGGCATACATACATATATTTTATCTTCGACGAGTTAAATATCAAACGCCAGGGACCGTTGTACCCGTGGGGGGTACTTTGGGAATTTCTAGGTGGGGATGTGCCGCTGGGACCCTGGAACCCTTAGCCTATACCAGAGTTAGTTCAGCTGAATTTTGCTACCCTACACTAGAGTAAACTCCCCAAATCCCCCCATCTATCGACACTGTTGAGGCTGATTTGCGTAAATTTAAACTTGCCGATTTGATTGTTTTATATTTTTGAGTGGCAATTCCTGGTTTCCTTAGTCCAGATAAAATCTTCAAGCAACTAGTCAGTTTTGTGAAAAATTATACCCTATTCTAGACCCAAACGCTCTGATTTATATACCCTATCCTGGAGTAAACTGCTTGAAAAACATACCCTTCACAGCGGCACATACCTATATACCCCATATATGGCAGTGCCCCCCCTCCCCCGGGCGTTGTACCACATTTTCAAACGAGAAAATGAAAATAAGACGCACAGCGAGCATTTCGACGAACTTCGAGTTGTTTGTCAATGTGGTAACACAATGTCTCGAGAGTCTGACAATCGAAGAAGAAAACAGAGAACACGTAAATAAAAATTTCAGTATGCTAAATCTGATATACAAACATCACGATTATGCTACTTCATGAAATATTAACGAGTTTGAGATTATTAAAGAGATACTTTTCATAAGTTTTTGACGCATTATTTTTGACCATGGATACGAGGCTCAAGAGTGGGGTAACTTGCTAAGAGGACATTTAAGGAAATGATTCTCGGTAGTTAAGTTGCATTTCATGTGCTTATTTCACCTGATTTTCTCCAGCTCGGATGTCTTGTCGCTTTGCATCTTCGTAATTTCATATAACACTCGAGCTAGAATCGTGGAGTTTATCTGAAAAAAAAAAAAGTATTAAACCCAAAAGTCGAAAAAGATTGGAATCGGAGGCAGCTGGTAACTGCATTACAATTATGGTAAAATGTATGGCAAATAGATTAACAGCGATTACTAACTTTAAATATCTACAACGACTGATACGGTTTGAAATAACTGAATGAAAATGGCGAACTCTTGACTTACCAAGCAAACAGCGAGAACGGGCGCGGCGAATGTCCAGATTAAATTATTAGCGAACGAAACCCAGCAACTATGGTTATAAAGGAAAACAAACGTAAAATAAACAACAGAATATTGCTGCCAACGGAATAAATCAGAATGTTAAACAAAACGTGATTGAAAATGGAACGAATTGCACTTATAACTGAGAACTTTCGATTTCCAATATTCATGTGGGTAAATAAATAGCTGAAATATCTTTAAGTTAAACGTCATACATGCAGTTGTCATTCTGATACTGCAGTTCGCAAATTCTTATTATAATGAGTTTAACGAATACAGGACCCGCCGAATCCTTTTTGAAATCATAGTTAACAGAGGGGAATGGTTACGAAACGCGACAAAGCTCTTTCTTGTGAGTTTTTGTTCGCTCTTTGGCCTCGAAAGTGCAGAAAACACAATTATCGTTTGCTACTGACTGAGGAACTAACCAATAGGAACGTTTTGGTTACGCAATTTATGAATAGAGTATAAACGTTAATGCAAATTAAAGGGTAAGAGTGTGCCCGATCGTACACATTCCAACATAAATCTTGTCATCTTTGCTTGCTCTTGTGATGTTTTCCGGACTTCATAACAATTCCCATTGGGTCCCATTTCTTCATAATAAGCCCATGCAGTTGTCGTTATGTTTTTAAGAAAAGTAAATGTTTTATATGGAAGTAATATCCAACAAGTACGAATACCATAGTCAAGACTAATAATAATAAACTACTTTATGCAAGGGTGGAAGTGGTTAGCATTACCATAATTGGGGACACTGAAATACGTAAAGAAATATTGTAAATTCAATGGAACAGAAAGCTGTTAAAAATCCCATCTGGTCGGGGACTCACCAGTTGGCTATTACATTATATCAAATCAAATTCTTTAACTTAGTTGTTCTAGTTGACACTTAAAAAAGTTGATATGTACATAATCTCAACTGACAGGAAACTTTCAGCATCCTAACCATTTGGGCACGCGGCCTACCCTGAGATTACACACAGGCATCATAAAAGGGGTTTAAGGTATGCTCATTATGAAAACCCTAATAACGAGGAGAGCCGCTATTCCCGAGCTCTGGATAGATAGATAGCTTTATTAAGTAAAATCATTGCAGCCCCCCCCCCACGAAGCTGGCACAGAAAAGGTTTCCTTGCTTTCAGTTCTGATTGGCTTCTACCGTTTAGACTCTAGTAACTGGGAAAGATGGGATTACTTGTTCGAACCACCCTGGTTACATGGGTTTTCTTTTTCCTTTTTTGTTAATCAAATCAGCTAGGAAGGAAGACAGAAAACCATTGGGACGATAGTATGTTTGATTTCCGTACTCGTCTTAATGGCCAATTCCGTCTATGAGACGGGTCTGCAGGGAATCATGGTAGTTGTAGTCATCAGAACAAACATCCAGTCCAAGATGATGAACACAGCTACGTCATCATTTCAACTTATGTTGACTTGAAAATTTGTATCAGTCACTGAAAAGCCCTCTTTAGGGAGTATCAATAAAGTTTGTATTGTATTGCATTCCCTGCGTGCGCCGCATCTCATAGAGAGAGTTGGCCATTTCTTAATGGGTTGCAAGGTGACTCCCTAATGTTATCTTCTGGTTTCGTAAAGAAAGTTTGGCCATTTTTTAGAATGTCTAGTCCAATACAGCTGAGTTTTGTTATCATATTTTTACTTACAAGTCACCGTAAACATAACTATTGACGCTGCCATCTTGGCTTGAGGCAATCACTAACGATAACACCACCATCACAAGAGGGAAGCCTGAAGTGAAAAAAATGTTTAAAATTGAACGTGTTAAGTCGGCGATCTTATATTCCCCACGAAACGGACCTTTCTCGAGTGAAAATGTAAAACTGGAAATATTTAGTGTTCTGCCCGCCCTGCTGACACAAGGAAAATAACCTGAGAGACTGTTAATTTATATTTCGTTTAAGAGTTGCTGCCTCACAAACGTTGCCGCACTGAGATGTTTTGGGTTTGAAAGTCTGACCGTATAAGAAAAGTTCATAGTTTAGAATAAAGCTTAACCCTTCTTTTATTTAGCAAGTAAGTAAAGTTTTATTTAACTTTAAACCCTCGCTGTTTGCCTATCTATAGTTCATATAGTGAACCGTGATAATGTAATGGATACGTCCTTTTAAAGAAGTGGTTTAAGAAATACTTACCCCAGGCAAAAGGGTAGAATAGCCGCATTCTAACCACAATGTTAAACACTTTAACAACCATCAAATAAAGGTAAATCCCTTCAAATAGCATCCAACCAAATCCCGCCAGATAGAAATAATGGATTAATGCCGCTACCAAGACGCACACTCCCTATGGAAAAGATTTCAAATATTAATTAAAAAATGGTTAATTACAGGGATATCTAAGTTTAAGTCTCCTAAGAAATTAGATGTCACAGCTAATGCTATGCATGCAACGTGTCTAGTGTCTTTGTAAAATTAATAAGCCATTTTCAAGTTGCCTTTTGCCTCCGTTTCAAAGAGAGTCCTCGTTCGAAACTTTACATATGAAAATGAGTTTAGTTTGAATAATAATGAACGTGCAGGTGAAAAACATTTTAATATGAATGGTTCACACGAAAACTCCTTGTCAGGCAACAGACAAGTCGGAAATAGCAGGAAAGTAACGAGTGAAGAAAAAACAGTGTTATTATGTCTTACCCTGGTCTCCGAAGCGTCAATTCCGGAAAGGAATACAATTTGAGCGATCGCTATAGCAACCACAAGATTGAAGCGTATTTGAACTTGTTCCTGGTTTAGATTCCTGTATGACCAGACATATTCATGGTTACCAGGTTTATTGTAATAGCGATACATCTGAGTTATGAAAGCGCTGGTAATAGTTTATAACTAATAAAAATATTACTAGAACTCACATCAAGGCACAATAGGCTAGTACCGTCAGCAGTTCTCCCGCAAGCGACAGACCACAACCAACGTAAGTAATCACTTTCAGCGCCTTTGTATGGTGCGAGGGCACCTGTTAGTGAACGTAAACACAGAACGAATAAAAATGCTGGAAAACTTTATGTCATTAGGCTAGTATGACCAAGATCGATAGACATGGTAAATAAATACCTCTAACAAGATAACCTACCAACCAAACAAGCAAACAAACTAACCAAATAACCAACTAAGCAACCAAACCAACTACCTACAAACTAACCGACCAAACAATCTACCAACCAACCAACCAACCAACCAGCCAACAAACTAACAACCGAGGAACCAATCAACCAATCAAACCAACTACCAACCAACAAATCGAGCAACCAAACCAACTCCAACCAGCCAACCATGCCAACCAACCAGTCAACCAACCTTCCAACCTACCAACCCCGGAAACTACCATCCAAACAACCATACCGTCCAAACAACCACACCGTCCAACCAACCAACCAACCAACAAACAAACTAACCAACCAACCAACCAACCAACCAACCAACCAACCAACCAACCAACCAACCAACCAACCAACCAACCAACCAACCAACCAAC